ATGTGTGTGTAAAATGAACACGTCTGTGTATGTTGTTAATTGAAAAAAGCAGTTTGCAAAACAATATATACAAGTTGTACCAGCCCTTGTTTTTTTAAAACAGACATTTCACACACAGATATCTTGTTAAAATCAAGGTATTAACAATGGTTATCTCTGGGTGTAAAAGTGGGATTAACATGTTCAGTTTTTTCTTTGAACTATCTCTGTCTCCTAGCGTTTCTTCTGTGAATATGCGTTATTTTAATGAAAAGTAAAATCTGTAAAAGGACAAGCCTCAGAATTTCAGGGAACAGAGCATAGAATCTTCATTTTTGAAAGGTGTCATAACTATTTGGAGTGGCAGCACTTGTAGCTTTTGAAAGATGCTGCTCGATAGCAGAGCCTGCAGGGACAGTGCGGCCTTCCGTCCACTCCGTTCAAATGCCTGGACTGGGTGATCCATACACTTTATAGAGGTTATTTTGGAATAATTATTAAAAATCTCTCTTTTTAGATGTATCTTGAGTCCCTGGCCCACAGTACCATTACCATAGCTTTAATTGAGGCCCCATCGTGCCTCATCAGTCTTACTCTCTTGGCCTCTTCCACCAGCCACCCCCCTAAGTGCAAGTCTGATTGGTCACTCTGGATTAACTCCCTCAGTAGATCCCCAGGGTTCCTGGGATGGGCATGTGAATTCCTTAGCGCCACGTGCAGTGCGCTCCCTGCCTCCCGTCAGCATCACGTACCGCCCTTGTCCCCTCTCACCCCACAGGTGCCTGCACCTGCTCCTCCTCACTTCCTGCTCATCTGTCTTGTCCATACTCCCTCCTCTAAGTCCTCACTCAGGGTTGAGGCTGCCTCTGTGGAGCCTTGTTGAAGTCCTTGGTGCACTCTCGAGCTCAGGAGCCCCCCGGGCACTAGGCACATTCTGGGTCCATGGTCGGGTCTGGTTCCCATACCTGCTTGATGGCACGGACCATGTGTTTTCCATATGTGCTTAGAATGTGGTAGAGACCTAAGTATCTTGTCCAATGAATAAATGAGTAGGTATTTCAAATAGGCTTCTAAAATGTCCTTTTTCATCAATTATGAAAGTAATTGGAGGAGAGTCAAATGACCTGAGAAGATGTTAAAAATAAAAGTTTATCTTTGGAACCTTTGCTCTATTTCTAACCCTTACTCTTCTCAAAAGGAGATGTTCTCATGTGCTGGGGCATCCAGCCGTTCTGAGGGTTCTCGTATTGTTGTGTTTCCACATTGGAAGCAGAAAAAGGAGGGGGCTTTGGTCCACTCAGACATGTGTTCGGTTCTCCAGGCTCTGCCTTTTCCTTACTGGAGATGTTAGGGACGTTTGTTAACCTCTCTCTGCCTCTGTTTCTTCATCTTAATTGGTAAGGAAACTAAAAAGACTTCCTCACAGGTAGTACATGAGATAGTATATGTAAGGCACCTGGAATACATTCATTCATTTGATAAATATTTATTGAGTGCCTCCTGTATGCCAGGCACGTTTTAGTGAACAAAGCAGAAAAATGTGTGCCCTTAGTGAGAGGAAAGACAAGAAGCAAATATGGAGTATTAAGAGCCAGGAAGACAACACAGCAGGGTGTGAGGGGATGGAAAGCCACAGGAGGGTGGTCAGGCCAGGAAACTTCCTTTCTGAGGAGAGTCCTGGAGGGAGTGAGGGAGTAAGCAGGGCAATGTAGGAGGGAGGCCAGTGCCCTCACCGCCCAGCAGAGGGAGCCACAGGTACAGTGGCGGGAGCTGAAGTCAGAATGAGCCTGGAGGCGGCACTTGGAGGTGGGGATAGAGACTGGGTTTTTTATTCTGACCGTGGTAGGAATCATCAACAGTAAGGACTCATAAATACATGTTTCCTTTCCTTTTTTTTTTTTTTTTTTTTCCTTTTCTCTTTCCTTTACTTAAACAATATGATAGCATTTCCTAAACTGTTCCACAGTGACGTAGCCCAGGGCAAGTCATTTAGTCTTACTTTGATTTTAGTCTTCTGAAATGCCAGGAAAGATTATACCTTCTTGTAATCAATATACCTATAAATTAGTACTAAATGTTGAGAAAGTACTTTGAAATTTTGGAAAGTTATGCAAAGCTGGATTCCTATTATTAGTGTAGTGATTCCTGAGCCTTCTGGTCCTGGGTCCGTGGACCTTGGTCGAGCATACCGCTCCGATTTCTGCTGTTCCTGGGCTTAGTACTAGCTATGTCGGATGCTTCAACAGTCAGAAATTGTGTTCTTTGCTCCTCGAATTCATATTGGGGTGATAGGTCATTTGTCAAATGTCTCCCTGGCGTTTGGAGAAGAACATTATATATAGGCAGGATGTATCTGTCAGAGGAAGTTCATGTTGATGTGGCAGATATCCAGTAGACTTGACAAAATTCCGAGGGAAAAAATACCGTATGTCATTGTCATTAACGTTGTGGCTCAGTCATGGAATGACTTAAACTATATAAAACCCTATTATCAGAAGCCTTCTGGTAATATACGTTAAAGGAGTCCATGCTTAGAAATGAGAGGTGAATGGTGCCTTTTAATTTTCCTGAATCAGTTAATAGTGAACTGAGTATTTTTTCCTTTTTTTACATTTTGTATCTATTACTTGGTTGTATCTGTTGGTAAGGTTGTTCAGCAACACTGGAGTAGCATAGATTTGGGGAAAAAAAGAAATGCTCTACTTAACCCTCTGCCATGTTCAAATATGAATGGTGTCTAAAAAATTCTTAAGGGCCGGCCCGGTGGCTTAGTGGTTAAGTGCACGCGCTCCACTACTTGCGGCCTGGGTTTGGATCCCGGGCGCACACCGACGTACCGCTTCGCCGGCCATGCTGAGGCCGTGTCCCACATACAGCAACTAAAAGGATGTGCAACTATGACATACAACTATCTACTGGGGCTTTGGGGGTAAAAAAAGGAGGAGGATTGGCAATAGATGTTAGCTCAGAGCAGGTCTTCCTCAGCAAAAGGAGGAGGATTAGCACGGATGTTAGCTCAGGGCTGATCTCCCTCACAAAAAAAATAAATAAGTAAGTAATTCTTAAGTTTTATAGAGATGTCCCTACTTATGTTAAGAAATTTGAAACCTCTTAGTATGCATAATCAACGTAAGCTTGGGAAGTTCTTCCTTATGTCTGGCTCAAATCTTCTTCTACAATTTGAAGGCATTTCTTTTTTGTTCAAATGGAAAACATCTGCCCAGCCTTCCCCTATAACAGCCCTTCATGTACTTAAAGGTGGTTATTAAGTCACTCCCAGCGTTCTTTCCTCTGAACTAAATAGTGCCTTTAACCGATCTTCAGAGTTCTCATTTTCCACTCCTTTAATCATCTCTTGATCTTCCCTAAGCTTTTCTACATCCTTCTTTAAATGTGGATGCCAGACTGGAACATGGTATTCTATGAGAGTCTCGCCAATTACTGGGGTCGCCAGCTTTTCAGGCTATCAGATATCATTGTCATTCGTATGGGAAATCCAGCAATTTTATCAACATCCCCAGAGATGAGATGTAGGACTAACAGTTCCTTCTATAGTGGACCCAGGCCTAGGTTTGTGGCTGCAGCTGCTGGTTTTGGAGTCCAAGGCCTTTAGCAAGCCAAACTCTAGGTCTCTTCTAAGAAAAATTCGCAGGCGCACGACCTCCTGCCTCCGCATTCTGGGTTTGGTGACTGATTCTGCAGTACAGGAATCTTTTCCCAAGCACTGTTTCCTCTTAGGCAAAACTCTCCTGTATAGGATTTTACCTCCAGTGTCCATGTCTAAGTCAAATGTACATGCAGTGAACATGAAGTCACTTGAGGTCTCTCACTTCCTCCCCCGGACAGCTCACTTCAGAACAGATAGATTCAGGACAAGGGGCATTGTTTTCTCTAATCTCATTGAAATCACAGAGGTAGGAAGATCCCCAAAATTGTCCAGCAAGCACAGGAAGATAAACAGAAATTAATTGTCCAGTGCCCACTGTTGAGGATGAGAGGTGCGGCGTGTCATTGAAATTGTCTTGATCATATGCCATCTCTGTTGTTTGGGGCTTTGACTTGGTCACTGATAGCGCCTCTTCTTTCTCCGTCTCCCTCTGTTTTCCCTAAAAATTTAAGTTCCTCTGGTGGAAATCCTCCTGGGATGGGGATTTTCAGAATCATGACTATCAGTTGGGGCAGGTATACAGGCCTGACTAAAGAGTCCATTGCTTACTGCAGCAGGCTTCTCTTTGAGCAAAGCCCAGGCATGTCACTCCTTGGTCAGCTCCTGCAGGAGGCACGCATGCTGGCATCAAATTGGCCAGCATGTGACCTTGGGCAAAGGCAGGTAGGAGGGCAAGAAAGAGTTTTGACCAGGGAATGGTTATGTGGTGAGACTCCATTTAGGCAAAGCCTAAATTGGCATGACTATCTAGATACTGCAGAGTCTGTCTGAATTGTATGTGTGACCAAGAGATTTGCTGATAAGTGATAGGAAATCCCTATTATATTTTCCCTCTCTCCAGATTTTGGGGCTCATTAAACAATGTCTCACAGGTGGTAATTGTCCTTGTACTTTTAAGAGAAGTAATGTAAATTTCCCATTGCAACCAAAATTTGTGGATAGCTGGGACATCAGGTTTGGGATGATTGATTACTGGGGTTGTTTTAAATGAATGAATGAAACTCAACTACATTTCACAGTAAGATACAGTACTGAAAGTGTCAGCTCTTTGTACTTGGATATGTATAGGTTCCAGAAAGGTGCATTTCCATGGACCGCGTCCACTCTTCATTCAAAGTGAGGTGGATTATCTTGGTTAATCTGATTAATCACCAAGATATTTATACACAGTTAAAAGATGTTTAGTAGGCCACCTAAAAATTTTTCCTTCTGTAATGAGATTCAGAATTCTAGTGGGGTAAAGAAGACTTCATCAAATTGACGGCACGGAACTGCAGGCCTGCCCTCCAGGGCACTGAACCTGCAGGTGAGAGGGTAGAGCTGCCGTAACTTCTCCATTTTCTCTTTTTTCCAGTCTAACAGGCAACCAGCTAAGTTGAACCTTCTCACCTGCCAGGTGAAGCCGAATGCAGAGGACAAGAAGTCTTTTGACCTGATATCACGTGAGTCCTTGTTCTCTCCGAGTCGGTTACTGTGGATTCTGTCACCTGCACGTTTCCGTTCTCTGGGCGTTGGAGCAGCAGCTTTTCCGGCAGGGCTCCTTGCTCTTCCTGTGCAAGCAGGTCCAGGAAGACCCCTCAGGTCTCCTAATTTTCCCTGAGCCCCCCTGCAGGTGGGAAGGCATACCAGCATCAGATGTGAGCCACAACAGAACAGAATCTAGATTTGTACGTTGAACTAGACCAGTTCTTGACCGTGCATACACAGTTTTATCCCCTGGGAGAGATTTTTCTAAGTACGTTCCTATTTCTCTCCTAGATCTGCGGAATCACAGTCTTTGGTGTGAGGCCCAGACATAGGTATTTTGTAAGAAGTCCGCAGGTGATTGTCATGTGTACTTGTGGTTAAGAAGCACTGGCGTAGAGTTGGGAGTGTAGATGTGCCACCATATCTGTACAGCTGATTTGCCCGGAGTTTTACCCCTGCAAAACCGGGCTCTTAAAGGAGAAATCACTTCCTTGCTTCAAAGCAGAACTGCCTTCAAACTTCATGAGTTGATGACACTGCGTTCCATCACTCTCTTACTCCATGGATCAGAGTGTGCTTTTCTCTTGTGATGAGGGCACATAGTGACCCTCCCACCTCCCAACCTATAGCCTGTATTCTCACAGTCTTCAGAGAGTGGGCGGAAGATTGTTTTCCTCTAGGCTATTTTTCTCTAGGCTGGTCCTGTGGGTGCACTTACTGACCCTCACAGTAGCACTGGGACACCTCCCTGTAAAGGAACAGGATGGCAGTGCCCATAAAGTGACTCTCGTGAATATTCTGAAATCCTGCAACACTGGCCTTCAGTATTCCTCCTCTTCTATAGAGCCCCGTGGGGCAGACCAACAGCCTAAGCTCATGATCTGTGTGTAGATCACAAAAATACTTTCCTGCCCCTTGAAATCTTTCTGGTGTAGTTACATGAATGGAAGCCCGAAAACAGTCCCAACCCCAAAGACTGAATCAGTCATGAGACTCTTGAGATGGAGTCTGAGCTGGATTCTACAGCATCTATTGAAGTTGAGATACCCCATGATTTTTATGACCAAGAGATTTCTAGGGTTATTGATGAGAAAGAAATATGAAAAGTTGGAGTTATAATATGACTTCAAAAAGCTGAGAACACCTAGATTTGAGAACCTGTAGGTTTTAAATAATAGTGATCAGTTATTGAACCTCTGACATGTGCCAAGTGCTTTATATACACTATGGCTAATCCTCACAAAAGCCCTATCAGTTTCCTGTTTTACAGGAGAGAAAACTGAGGCTCAGAGACATTCAGTGACTTAGACAAGGCCACACAGCAGTAAAGCAGGCATTCAGCCAAGTCTCTTGGGCTCTCCTACCCGTGGCCTGTTCTTGGACATACATCTCTCTGTCTCAGGGAGATGAGGGGTGTGAATGCCTTGCCTGGAGCAGTCACGTAGTGGGTGACTGGTTCATAAGGAGAGGTAGTGAGTCACGGTTAGCTTGACCTGAACACGTTGAAGCATTCCAGCGAATCCTGACTCTTCAGCTTCCCTCGTGTACACCGACCCAAAGTATCCAGATTAGGCTGCTGCCTCCTCACCTGGGTAGCAGCTTGAAGCTGACCTTCTAGCAGAGGTTGAGAAGCCTGATGCAACCAGAGAGCAACCCGGGGCAGAGCATGCGTGCTTGCTGGAGCTGCCCCGAGTTACAAGTTACTTCTGAAAAGGAAATTATCTTTTAAGGGAAACAGTAAAAGGCAAATTGAAAACAAAAACAAAGTTAAGTTGGCAGCCAGCACTCTCCAGTTTGTCACTGACGTCCACTTTGATCAGGTAGGACCTGTTCCCCTGCCCACTTTTTTTCATAAGAAGTGCCAGGTGTTTTTGTGGTATTTGTGGTTTTTTTATTGTATTCCTGTTGCACTTCGGAAAAATAATATTGGCAAAGTGAATTGTGTAACTGCTAAGATAAAACGGTGTAAAAAAATATATTAAAACTCTCCTTTTACTGTGTTTTCTTTTTTCTAAGAACTTTCAATTTTTGCATTATACCTGAAGGCATTCTGCTTTCTAAGTTTTCACTTTTTTTCTTTTTTGTATTTTAGATAATAGGACGTATCACTTTCAGGCAGAAGATGAGCAGGATTATGTAGCGTAAGTAGTTTTGAAGTAATGACACAGTGCTTTGAATGGAAAAAGCACCTCTCCCCTGTACAGTATACCTTACAGTTTTCTTTTTGTTGCTAAGCACCGCTCCTGGGGGTTCCACGTGCTTATTTCTCACCTCTGGGCCTTCACATGCTCTTCCCTTGGCCTGGGATGCTCAGTTAACTCCAGTGCCTCCTTCAAGACTCTGCTCTAGCCTCGCCACTCCTCTCACCCCTCTGTGATTCCCTGGTTCAGTATGAGCCCTCGAGAGACCGAGAGCTTCTTGAGAACAAGGACTGTGGCTCCCTCATCTTTTAATCACATCACCTGCACTTGGGAGGGGCTTACTCAATGTGTAGTGGCCACATGCGTGCGCCAGTCTTCCTGGATTCTTGGCTGTTATTGTGAGAGGAGCAGGAGAGCCTGGTCCTGAAGGAAGGGTATTGGCGGGTACCTCTTGTGGGGTGAGCACGGCTCAGTTAAAGGGAGCCTGGGGTAGTGGGAAGGATTGGGTTTGGTGTCACACACACTCCTGGGTGGGAATCCTACCCTCACCTGATCAGGTGTGCAACCCTAGGCAGCCCCCTTTTCAGTGTTATCTCTGGTCCTGAGCCATCTTCATTCCGTCTTCCTTGCTGTAGCCTGCCAGGACTGAAAAAGCAGTGTGTGACCATTGCCTTCTCAGCTGCCTGGACAGGAGATGTTTGTGTGAAAGCTGGCAACTAAACCTTTTGTAGTGTTCAAATTTTTAAGTTGCTATTCCGTCGGTGGCACACAATAAATGTTATTTTCCTTCCTTAATTATTTCCATGGGGCCACAGAATTCTCTTCACACCCTTTTCGCCTTACACTCAGCTCTTTTCTCTCTGCCCCTTTCCTCCTCTGAAGAATTTTACTCTTTCCTCATCTCAGGGGGGAAATAATAAGGGATCAGAAAGAGAATAAGAAATGGGTAGACAGGATGTAGCGTTGGGAGAAACAGAGTAAAAAAGGGGGCGGGGAAAGCTGAGAGAGAAGGTAGGAAAGATGAAGGAAAAGGAGAAAGGTCTGTTGATACAGATCCAATGATCTGTATATTTAATGTATGCTGACCACATGCCGAGAACGATGCAAAGCTTTGAGAACACAACTTTAAGCTAGATGGAGCCCTCCCTGCAGGAACTCAGTCTCTGCTGGAAGCGACAGGCAGGTGACCTAGTGCCAGGACGGAGGCAGGGTGTTGTGGGAACACAGACGAGGGGTGCACACTCGCATGGGGTCTTGGGGATATTGCTCAGAGTTGACTTCCAAGAGGAGAGTAAGCAGGCTGCACTGGCTCACGGGAGAAGGTTGTCAGTACTCTGCACTCCGGGTGGGAGGTTCTTCTAGCCCAGAAGCAACGGGAAGGAGTAGAAAGGAAGCCATCGATGGCTGGGTTTTGTGGGTATAGAGTTGGCAAACTGGAGGGTGACTAGGAACCAGATGAGAATGGGAGAAGTCAGGAGGGCTGGCCTTCTACTCACAGATTCAGAGAGAGGTAATATTTATTGAGACCTTACTGTGCTGAGTGTAGGTCACAACCCCAGACTATTATCCTTAGTTTAAAAATGAGGAAACTGAGGCCTGTGTGCCTATGGCCACAGTCCTGGTATCCTGGGGGTCTTACGGTAAAGTTGGAGAAGGAAGTCTGCCAGTGTACAATGGCTGTGTAGTTCCTCCCAGTAATGAGGGCCTACTGTGAGCCAAGCAGCAGGGTCTTACCTGTATTATCTCCACATCCTTTTCAAACACACCACAAGGTTGGCATGGTTATACCCATTTTGCAGATGATTAAACAAACTGAGGTTAATAGATGTGTGATTGAAATTCTTGCTCTAATGCCCGTGCTGTTTCCAGTCCATCACACTGGTTCTGTAAAATGTTCAGCTATGTGATTCAGAGTCCATGGCTTATAGGATAGGAATTCGGAGGCAAGAGAATTGAAAAGTCCAAACCGTTACCCTTGCCTTGATTCACTGGCATTGCTTGTTTACTTCTGGGAACTTTAGTCTCCTCGTTTAAAAGACAAGGGAACAACAATAGGTGACTCTCTCAGGCCCCTTTTGGAAGGTAGCAATGAAAGGTGCTTCAAGCAGGCAGCTTTCCTGGTTGTGATGGGTGTTACTGGCTCCTTCGAGAAAAGGTACCACATGCAGTCACACGTATGGGGCATTCTGCCACATGTCCCATTAAGTTTCCTGGACAGAGTTCCAAAATCACCTTGGAATATTGCTTCCCTATCTCATATTCCACTCTTTTCTTCTCCTTTCTTTCCTCAAAGCCCTAAGGGGAGGACAGGTGAGAGATCTGCGTGAGGCAAGGGACACATCCACTTCCTCTTGGTTCTCTTATATCTCAAGCCCAGGCCTGTAATATTTCATCGACTCTTATGACTTACAGGTAATTCAGTCCCAGTTTGGTCAAAGAGGTATTGGTTTCTTGCCTGCAGGACTTAACACCCTTCAGTAAAAGGGCTGCTGGGCCCATTCCACAGTTGCTGCACATTTTGCACTCGGAATTCTCTTTGGGTGCTGCTGGTGGTGATAGGGGACTTCGTCTTGAGAGATGTGGGAAGTAATGGCATCCTACAGGGAAAGCATATGCCCCAGAGGGAGGTCTCGGTGCTTCATGTACCTCCCAGTTACATAGAGGCAGTTTCGCTGCATCGCTGAGTTTCTTTCTCCTGTGGAAGGAGAATGAACTGAAGAAATCCCTTCTCGCCAAGAAAGGAGGCAGGCGCAGGTTTGAAGTCACGCAGACATGACTTCTAGTGCAGAATCTCCCCGTTAGTGGCTTTTTGACCTTAGAAAGATTATCCTCCTCAGTCTTCTTGTCAGTATATTATATTCCTCGCTTGCAGGGTTTTGAGACAACTGTACATTATTTTATTTCTTATATTTTTTTGTTTGCCTGTTACCTTAAAATAATTTAGAAGTTTTTTTTTAATTGTCAGAAATAGTTGCTTTGATTCGTGACCCATTTGACGTGTAGCCGTTCCAGTCCACCAAATTTGAATTATTCCTCTGGAAAGTTAATTGTCTTTTAACCAATATCCATTTTCTGATTGTCGTGACAAACTTTGTTTCTTTGTTTGTCCTGAGCTCTTGGGTACAGAGGCAGATGTGGCCTAAGGGACGGATCCCTGAAGAAAGGTGATCAGCAGTGGTGGTGTTTTGTCCTAGCCTGACATCAGTCCATCTGTAGGACCGCGGGCAAGTCATTTAACCTCTCTAGGCCTCAGTTTCCTCATGTGTAAAGCATTATAAACCCTAACTCAGAGGCCTTGTTGGAGGATTATATTTCAAAAATTATAAGCACTTGGCACATAATAGGTACTGGTAATATTAGATAGCCAAAATATCAGAATTCCTAAGCAAAGCAAAATAGAGACTCTGCAGTCAAAGTGAAAACTCCACTATCCTCCGTGCTGCTGATAAAATGCACAGTGACCGGTCCTGTTGAACCCAGTTTCTTGAAGTGTTTTTAACAAAACAATTTCTAGTTTCTAACTTGAGACTAAGTGATAGAAAAAATATTATTTAATTTAAAAGGTATTAAGTGCCCACCCACCCCCCCATTCCTAGACTGTTGGTTTTGAGGTGTTGAGTTTTCTGTGTCACGGTAGGAAAGCTAACATGACAAACGAGTTTGTCACAACATGCTGGGGGTGAGCGCCACCTAGAGTCAAAGATGTGACTTGCAGTTCACGTACACCAGGTAGTTCGGTTTTTCATTCTCATTGCTGTCTCTGTCACTGATTCAAAACCTGTTGTGGGTAGTCTTTTGTTTCATATCCATTTCATCCTACAAGACACACAAAGAAGTCTAGAGACTAAGGTCTGGATCTCTGTATTCTCTGTTAAGAGTAGTTATTAGCTGTCTGTGCAGTCGGTGAGAACAAACTGTGGTTTGGAAACGTTTTTCATTTTCTTCTTTAAAAAATGAATTTGACTTTTTTGTGTGTGTGTGTGAGGAAGATTAGCCCTGAGCTAACATCTGTTGCCAATTCTCCTCTTTTTGCCAAGGAAGATTGGCCCGGGGCTAGCATCTGCGCCCATCTTCCTCCACTTTATATGGGACACCACCACTGCATGGCCTGACAGGCGGTGCATCAGTCCACTCCCCAGATCCAAACCCGCAAACCCCGGGCAGCCAAAGCAGAGTGCACGAACTTAACTGCTAAACCATTGGGCCAGCCCCGAATTTGACTTTTTTTCCTCATTCATGAAAGTAGTATGAGCTGTTAATAGATTTGGAAAATTACAGCAAGGCAGTCATTGAAATCCATCTATCCATTTTCCCTACAGAAAATCACTCAGAGACAACATTTTGGTGGATTTCTTTCTAGCCTTTTTTTCCCCAAACAAAATACATAATCTGTGCATACATTTAAATTTGGGATTATGTAATATAACAATTTATTTCATATTTATTTCATAAAACATTATATTGTGAGCATTCCCTTAATGTCATCCAAAAAATAGTTGAAAACTTAAATTTTAATACCTGGCTAACTAGTCCACTTTAGTTATTTCAAACTATTAAGCCCCTCTCGTTGGGTATTTAGATGTTTTATGCATAGATTGGTAGCAAAAGGTTATTTTGTTTGACACATATTGTGGCCATACTATGTATACAGTTTAATAGCCTGCACTTTTCATTTCATGTTATAAACATCAGCATGTTTCATGTTAACATGCCTTTTTCATAAGCATAAATTTTCATAGCTGCTAATGAAATACCCCTTCATTTTCATTTTAAATGCCGCCACTGACATGGACTTCCAGAGAACAGACGCCTTTTGTAAACTCTCTTTCCTGCCTCCTACTCATTGCTCCCAGTTCTTTCTCATCCTTGCGTTGGGTTGGTCCTGCACTGGGTGCCCTGCATTCTGATGTTCCCTTTATTCTGTCCAAATGGAAACGCAAGCCCTTGTGTCTTTGTGCACATCCTGAGTTATATTGATCTTTACCTCTCTCATCTGTTCCTCTCATCTCTCTCATTCTCTCCAATGTGTTGCTTTTCATTCTTTAACTCTCTTTCCTTCAGGTTTAATTTCTTTCATCTTTCTTCACTTTATTGCTATCTGGGGGGCAGAGGTCTTTTTTGGACATTCTTGATGAGAAGAGATACTTTGCAGTAGAAGGAGAAAGCAATGGCCCTGCTCTTCTGTCTCCCGCCTCCTGTTTTTGACAACAGATGGATATCAGTGTTGACCAACAGCAAAGAAGAGGCCCTCACCATGGCCTTCCGTGGAGAGCAGAGCACGGGGGAGAACAGCTTGGAAGACCTGACAAAAGCCATTATCGAGGACGTCCAGCGGCTCCCTGGGAATGACGTCTGCTGCGATTGTGGCTCGTCAGGTATTTGCCCCCAAACTTGGGCTGGCTTCTTAAATGTCCTTTCTCTTCCTGCAGAGTATAAATGAGCTAGTTATTTACAGGCTTTGTCTTCCTATGCATATAGACACACACCCAACACATATTCCCCACTTGAGTGTTCTCACCTCTGAGCTGCTTTCACCCAGGCTCTGTGCTCTACTTGGAAAGCTCACACGTGCTCTCCCTACATGGTCACCTGCCAAAGTGCTACCTTTCCTGAAAAGTCCAGTTCAGTAGCACCATGGACAGTGTGGAGAGAGCACTGGACACAGAGTCCATCATCCTAGTTTTGAATCACCAGCCTACCACCCACAGCCTGGATGACCTCGTGCCAAGGTTTACTATTCTGATCTTTGATTTCCTCATCCTAAAAATGGGAGAATAAACCTCAGTTGTTATGAGGACTTAATAAAATGGTGTATGTGAAATAGGCTGACATGCGCTATATTACTTTCCTTTGTTTCTGCTCAGTAAAACCTCCCCAACCTCTGTATCACATTGGTGTCACCTTCCCCCAAACTTCTATTTTCAAATAGCATGTGTATTACCTAGATGTTGACAGTAGCTAACATTTATTCACTGCTTACGTTGTAATAAGCATTGTGCTAGTTGTTTTGCTTATATTAATTTATTGAATCCTCACAGAAGCTGTGTGAGCAAGATACTAATATTATCCCCATTTACAGATGAAAAAACTGGAAAATTAAGAGAGGTTAAGTGACTTGCCTAAGGTCACAAAGCTAGTGGGGTTAGAACACAGACACAAACTTGTTATTCTGAAGCATTATGATATACTTTCTTATTCTTTTAATTATGAAAATGGACTTCTCTGTACAACATTCCATAAGCACCTCAGAGAACAGCCACATGTTTTCTACTGTTTCCGTGTACGTGTGTGATCGTGACTCACACAGTGTGAAAATATGGCCGAGGAGTAGGAAATACTCAGGTATTAACCTATTGAAAAGAAGCCTGCCACAGAGAGAGAACCCTGAAGGTTTTGTAACATAGAAATATTTGTTCCCACTGTTCTGGAACTCTTGGCAGTTGTAGCACAGGCTTCGGTCTCTGAGAGAAACATTTGGTATAAAGAAATACTTGGTTCAGTATTTAAAGCTGTCTTATCACCAGGAGGTGCTATGGAGGAGCCATAACCAAGATGTTGGGTTGAAGCAAGTGGTCACGTGAGGTTAATGATGCTGCAGAACCCAGTCCCTTCGTGCTGCACTAATAGGCCCTCAACCCATCACTGTCAGGAGTCCACCAGGGAACACCTCCCTCAAGGCCTCAGGATGTTTCATGGAACTGAGAACAAAAGTCTTTCTCTCGTTTTCATAAGAATAAAGCACTTAATTTTGTTGTCAATTCAGTATTGAAAGGAAATTTTTAAAAATTTGTCTTGCTGCCCTTTGCTCTCTAATAAGCTATTAAGTTTTATAATAGTCCCTAGGCTAAACCGCAAGCATTCATTTCTTCCATTTAAATTTTTCCCTCATAATTCTTAAGAAGTTTTACTGCTACTGTTTTAGCTTCCTCTGTAGTTAGCACACTAAAATTAGATATCTTGTTTGTTTCATTGTCTTCAAAATCCTTTCCACAGAACCCACCTGGCTTTCAACCAACTTGGGTATATTGACCTGTATAGAATGTTCCGGCATCCACAGGGAAATGGGGGTTCATATTTCTCGCATTCAGTCTTTGGAACTAGACAAATTAGGAACTTCTGAACTCTTGGTAAGTAGTGACCTGTACTTTGGAAGGAAACTTTGTTTGTTGTCATGAAAATATTTAATATATTGCTTTGGGTTTTTTTGTTTCTGCTGAGTACAAAGAATTCTAATTCCTAAATTCAGTGAATTTGCGTAGATATTTAAAAAGTAAATTTTGTGGTATGTGACATTGACTATTTCTATTTCCTGTTTGAAGAACTGGTAAATCATACGTTTCTAAAATTAGTTCAACTAAACTGGCTCTTTTCTTCTAGGATGGGCTTCTTCAAAGCTGCTTTTCTCTTTCAGAATTAGTTTTTGTATGATTCACTATAATAGCAATAAAGGGAGTTAGGGTTGAACTCACATGTTCACTTTATTTAGTGGCTTATGTTATTAAAAATAATGACTAAAGAGGTTTTCTCTATTTTTACTGTTTGTAAGTTTGTAAAAGTACACATGTATTGAGGGTAGCCTCTTAGCTACTGTCATAAATGCAATCACTCCTTAACCCATAACTTCTTTAGGTAGTAAGGAAGAAAATTGTGTGAAGTTGTGGTGCTTAGGTATATAATATGGAAAAAAGTATTATAAACACTGACATGTGTTTTTCACGTAACCCCTACCCTTCCCATCACGATTCACCTAAATTGGGAGCCCTCCTCAGGTCAAAGTTAAGTTGGGCCCTGCAGTACACCAAATGAAGGAAAAGAAGGCCCTCTTGGCATCCCCCATGATGCCTTGTGATCGTGAGCCCTGTCTGGCATTATTTGAGCCCTGGTGCACGGTGAGAGAGTTTTTATATTGAGAATGAAAATGTTCGAAGTAAAATTGGGTTCCTTCTCAGACGGAAGGCTCTTCGGCAGAACCTAAGTAAGCCTGGGACTCAAAAATTTGAAAGCCTAGCTTATCACTAGCCTTGTCTGGAGAAAAATACCCAAAAGTTAGGGCAATTAGTCACCCAGCCAGCAGCCTCTGTCATCTGAGCATCCATTAAGCAATGATGGTCTGTCTTGTGTGGTGTGAGCCTCTTGATTTAGGAAGTAGGAAATTTAGAAAGTATCATACTGGTACTCGGTGCTCTAATTCACTTGAGGATGATAGAGAAAAGGCTGAGACCTAAAACCTGAAACATTCTTCTTTAGTATGGAAATGGTGTCACTCTATCTCCTTGACTCGTATTAATGAAACCCAGTTTGACAACTAGAAATAGAGTCCAAACCCTAAACACTACTGTGCAGGAAATCCAAGATTTTTCCTCCAGAGACCTAGTTGCATGAGTGTTTCTTAAACTTCACAGTGATCCCAAAATTATCTGAATAACCAAAGGCCCTTGCAGACAAAATTTCATGGAGGAGTCTTGAACCCAGAAACAAAATGCTTCCTGAGGCCTCTTCATTAGTTGCCTGTAGCATCTTAATTTGTACCAAATACAGAAGCATCCTACATTCTTTTCTGTCCAATGAAAGTAAATCTGCTTGATCTGAAAGTGAGGCATGGTGGTGGTTGAAAAGCTATTGCTGGTCATTAAGCATTTAACCTAGATTCACATGTGGAACCTGCTTTGTCTAATCTCAGATAGTTCATGTATGTGTGTAGGACCACATCCTATTCTGTTCCAGCATTTATCACACTGTATTATAAAAATTATTGGCTTTCTTATCAATGGCCATGCTAGTCTATGAGCTCCTATGGGAGGGAACATGGTTTACCCATCTCTATATTCCAGGCACTCTAAAAGTCAAGGCTTGGCGCATTGTAGATGCTCACTAAATATGTGTTGACCAGGTGAATGGATGGTTTAAGTCAAATGAAGGAAAATACATATTCAGAAGTCTCAAAAGCAAATAACAGGAAACTTTTAAACTAGTAGTAAAAAGTTTGCTATGTTCTGTTTTGTTTATGTTACAGCTGGCCAAGAATGTAGGAAACAATAGTTTTAATGATATTATGGAAGCAAATTTACCCAGCCCCTCACCAAAACCCACTCCTTCAAGTGATATGTAAGTACTAAAGAATGAATTCCTTACCATTCTGAAATTGTTCTTGTACCCTCTCAAAAAACGTCTTAGTGGTTCTAGAACTTTTTTTTCCCAAAGAAAATTCTGTTAGGAGGAAAAAGCAGAGCAAAGAAAAGTATTTTGAAATATATTTCTGGAATGCACAGATTATTTTCACTGTCACCTTCCCCTAGCAGCTGAGCACCTGCTCTGAGGAGGATAAATCTTCCTAAGGACAGTTATCTCTAAATCATGGCGTGTTGTGATAAACGAGACATACAAAAGCGATGGGAGATTCATGTCAGATTAGCAAAAATTCCGGTACCTAGCAGCCCCCTCAGCAAGACTGTAGGGAAACAGACATTCTCTCTCGTGTGTTGCTGGTGGGAGGGCAAAAGGTACACAAATTTGGGTAAATTTGCTGATAAATCCCTCATTTTTGAACTCTACTCCCTCTGGACTCTGACACCAAATAGATTTGGGCAGTGAAGAATACATAAACATATGTATTTATTTGAACTTGTGTTTGCTTGAAGAAACACTGGGAAATACACAGGAGACTAATGAAAGTGCTCACTCTGGCGTGGGCGTGAAACTCTCCATAAACACTTCTTGATATCATTTTTATTTTTGAGTCATTGAATCTTTAAACCTATTCAGAAATTTTTCCATTGAATTTACACTGAAAATTTTTTAAATGCTGCAGGTGAAGAGGGGAAAAGAGATTTAATTCTGATTTTGAGTATCAGGGAAGGCTTTGACTTGACCCCAGCCTCCGTGCTGTGGCAGCCCCTCCCTGGTGGTTCTTCAGGCACCAGATTTGCACAGCACTGAAACTCTTAGGGGACACGTTCGAGGATCGTGTTTTTTCCAATCTGAAATCATGAAATAAAATCTCCCAGAGGGCCTCTTGGCAGTTGTCTTTTCTTGAATTCAGCAAATGTCTATTGCATGTTCACTCTGTTGTTTGCATGTTTACATGTTGTGTTAGATGCTGGGGAAACAGCAAAACGCAGACTGGATGTAATCCCTGTCCTCATGATCCCTGGGGCCTAGAAAGGAAGACAGATATTAACCAAGAAAGTGGGAAGTTAATTAGTTAGTCATAGTTGTGGTAAGTGTCACAGAAGAAGGTTCGGGCATGTTGGGGGCATATGCAATACCCTCACCTGATCTGGGGGCATCTGGCTTAATGACAACATTCAGACATCGTCCTAGCACAGAAACTGCCTGAGTGTCTTTTTCACACTAATGAGCACAAATTACACTGAGAAATAAGGCTTTTCAGGAGTTAATTTGATCATAAAACGACCGTGAAGAGATGATCTGAAGTTACCTCACAAACTTGATGACAGTGTGTGCTCAAGGACACACATGGTGCAGCCTTGCTCACACCAGCATTTTTTAAATGTTTCCATGACCCAAACCTCGAAGGCATTACTTTAGGATAAATTTCATAACGGCACAGATTTTATTTCCTGTTTCTCACGTGGGAGGCAGCGTCAGGACTGCCCCTGTCAGATGCGTGGCCTCAGATGGTCATTGATCTCTGTCAGGCCTTCCCCTTCACAGAGCTCGTGACTCTCTGAATCTCTGGTGTGGTGGTGAAGGTCGTAGACTGCAGCCTGAGCACTGGAGTGCAGAGCCTGGCCCTGCCGCTGCCTAAACCATGAGATCTTGGCAGCTAACTTCAACTGCCTATGCCTCAGTTTCCTCATCTGAAAAAATGTACCAACTTCTGAGGGAGTGGGGAGGATTACAGGGGTTAAATAAAAAGTACTTTGAGCCGCCCTTGGCGTGGAGTAAGTGCTATGTATTTACTCTTACTATCACCATCGTCATCATTGTTATTAATTCTTTTATTTGGCCAGCAGCCTAGGCATGAAGTGAATCTCCTGTAACACATAATTCGATAACTCACCTATTACTAAGCCACTTCTATGTTCCAGGCACACTTTTAAGTACTAAAGATACAGTAGAGAACAAGAGACTTCCTGTCCTGCTTATGTTCTGACTGAGGAGAGGAAAATACAGAGAATGAAAAAGTAAATAATGTAATTTCACATAGTGATAAGTGTTATGAAGAGAGTATAACAGGAGAAGGAGTGGAAATGTAGGGGCATTTTCATTAGGGTGGTCAGGGAGCATCTCTGAGGACTTGACGTCTGAGTGGGGATCTAAAGGATACACAGGACGCACATGGGGGAGAGCGGGCCAGCAGATGGAACAGTGAGTGTAGGTGCCCTGAGCGGGGACAGGCTTGGTTTAATCAAGCCATCATGAGAAAGTGAGCGTGGCTGGAGCGAACCGAACTGGGAGAGTGGTGGGAGATGCCATGTGAGATGGAGATGGGACCAGGGCACATAGGGCCCTGTAGGTCCTGGAATGTTTCTGGACTTTACTCTAAGTGTGATTGGAAGGTTTTAAACAGAGGGAGTGACATGGTCTCAGTTACGTTTTAGATGGACCGTTGCAGCTCATTGGTTCTCAACCAGAGGCAGTTTTGTCCCCTGAGGACACTTGGCAATGTCTGGAGACGTTTTGTTGTCAGGACTTGGGCAGGTGCTACTGGCATCCAGTGGGTAGAGGCCAGAGATGCTGCTGATCATCCTACAATGCCTAGGACAGCCGTCCATAACAAAGAGTTATCCAGCCCCAAATGTCAATAGGGCTGAGGTTGGGAAACCCAGCTGTAGCTGATGAGTGAAGGACACACTGTCTGGGGGGCAGGTGGAAACAGAGACTGAAGAGACCCTGTTACACTAGATCCACTGAGAAATGGAGATAAACTGGACTAAGATGATAGTAGTGAAGGTGGTGAAAAGTAGTTGATACTCAATATATTTTGAAGGGAGAGCCAAATATGGGATGTGTAAGGAAATTGTGAGGATGACTCTCTAGGTTATTGGCCTGAGCATCTAGGTAAATGGCCTGTACCATTACCTGAACCAGGGTAGATGGGAAGGACCGGGTTTGGTGGGGGACAAAAGGAGAGAGTTGTCTTTCATCAGCCGTAGGACTAGAACTCTGGTGTCCAGACTTTCAGACGAGTCTATTTTCCACCCTCCCTATTGCCGCATGTCAGAAAGCCTTTAGTTGCCAGAGGGCTGTGGGCTGAGTGCCTAGAAAAAGTTGAACGTACTGAGCATGGTGAGAGCTCAGACACTTCCTACAGCCACAGACTTAGAGACCCAAGGTGGGAGGTGATCTTCAAGGTGACCCGGGGCATCTCCCCAAGTGATACCTGAGTACCCTGTGCGTTGTTTCTGCCAAATTGTTGTGTAGTGTCTGCGTGATGCTTCCAGCAACAGGAAGCCCACCTGCAGACCTTGCTGCACTCTAGCTTAATGCATGGAAATGGTGGTCACCGGTCTACCTCTCTGTAACTTTCCACCGTTGATCCTGGTTCTGCCCTCTTGGATAACACTAGAAAAGAAGCTTTGAAATGAACCCATAGCTGTGCATCACTCTTTGTTCCATACCTAAGCTCTTAGTTCCCTGAAAGGTAGTAAGTGGGGCAGGTGTGATTACTAATAGTTTACTATTAGTAAACTATTAGAAACTGAGGTGCGCCAAGAACTTGATTTACCCAGCATCACGTACATTGCAGGTGATCTCAGACAAGACATTTAATGCTCCATCTATCACACAGTAGCTGCCTTTGAAACTTTATGTAAGTCACATGCAGCAGGAGACTCAGAAGCCAGGCTAAGGCCATGCTTTCAGGTGTCTGGAAGTGTTCCAACTCGCCAGGCCATGCCATCCTAAAAGGACTTTACCTGAGCACAAAGGACACCTGTAAGAGTAAGATCTTGATTACTGAGGAGAATCTGCAAGTCACCACAGGCCATGTGCCACCACCAACCAGCTCAACTCTTCGCTGCCAAGCCAGATGAAAGAAAAAGGCGTCAGCGCAATTTTAAACAGTGCTGTCTGGCTGTGGGATGTGGGACACAGCAGCAGCTACCACAGATGGAATGGCTGTATCTGAGCAAGAAAGTTTATGTCCCTTGAGTTAGAGCCCTCTCAGAAAGAAGATTTACCTATTAGGTGCTGTGCATTCTTTAATTCAAAATATACCAATGAGTTACTGTCCCTATTTTCAGATGAAAAAAACAGAAGCTCATGAAGATTAAGTATTTTACCCAAAGTCACACAGCTGGTATGTGTGACTTATAGAAGTAGAATTTGAATCCAAAATCTATTTACTGTCTTTTTATTAATTGGCTCATGTACCAGGAAATTCAAAGGGTGAGTTCAGGTACTGCTGGATCCAGGATGTTGAACAGTATCAACAGGATACAAACAGTATCATCTGGACCTTATTTAGCTTACCCTTCTGACTCTTGTCTCTGCTTTCCTCTGAGCTGACTTCCATTTCAGCGTTTCCCCAAAGGTGGCACAGGTAACCAACCATCAGGCCACTAGGTCATATACTCACCCCTGCAGCTGGGAGGTAGTCTCAGAACCACTTGAGCTGAAGTGGAGAAGGGCTGAGTCCTCAAGAGAAGGAGAAATGCACTGTACCCACTCAGACCTCGGGCGTATTATCTTTTTTTTGTATTTAGTTTTTTATTTTTTGTGAGAAAGATCAGCCCTGAGCTAACATCCATGTCAATCCTTCTCTTTTTTTTTTTTTTTGCTGAGGAACACTGGCCCTGGGCTAACATCTGTGCCCCTCTTCCTCCACTTTATATGGGACACCACCACTGCATGGTCTGACAAGCGGTGCATTGGTGCGTGCCCGGGATCCGAACCCCGGCCGCCAGCAGTGGAGTGCTCGCACTTAACCGCTACGCCTTGGGGCCGGCCCCTCGGCTGTGTTATCTGCAGCAGTCTGCTGCTCCCTGACTGAAATCTCTGTAGGAAAGACAGCTCGTCTGTATCCTTCCAGAGCTCAGTGCTTGACCTGTGGGTGTGGCTTTAAAGGACAGCCTTTCTGAGACTCGATTTTGTTACCTATTAAAATAGGGAGTTATATCAGAAGGCTAAAATCCTTTCCACAAAGCTCTGAAAACTTATAATTGGTCTTTTAGAATTGTATCGACTTTTTAGGTTTTTAAATTTCTTTATATGTAGCTGAATTTGAAGTAGTAGTAAATAGCAGATTTCTCATGCTATTCCTCAAGGCGGAAAAGAAATCTACTATTATCTGTGTGCCCGTTAATTTTGTGACTATATATTACCTGCACACACTAGTAAATATATATCAGTTTCTTCGTTTTGTCTTTATTGGAATAACTTGGCCTAAAACCTGGTTTGTTTGAATGTGGAAAAGAAGCGTACCTTAATTAAAATAACTCTTCTCAAAGAGAACTGCTTGTCAGAAAAATGTAAATCTTCCTTAGCTCTTGGAAAATAAAAATTCCTCTTCGTTTTGTTTTGCTCTGTTTTAGGACTGTGCGGAAAGAATATATCACTGCAAAGTATGTAGATCATAGATTTTCAAGGAAGACCTGCACATCTTCATCAGCTAAACTAAATGAATTGCTTGAGGCCATCAAATCCAGGGATTTACTTGCACTAATTCAAGTCTATGCAGAGGGGGTCGAGCTGATGGAACCACTGCTGGATCCCGGACAAGTAAGGCTTCACAGAAATCATAAGATTAAAAAGAATACAGAAAATCTGTTGAAAAGATGGCTCATTTTATCATAACACCACATAATGAGGCTCTAATTCGTTGAGTGACCATGTCTAACTCAGGACGATTTGAGAGTGAAAAGGGGGGCTATGAATAATTACTTTAGGGCACCTGATGTAAATGAAGCTGCTCTAGGCAAAGTTGGACCTATGATCACCCTACTTATACTTATACTATCCTTTTTAGGAGCTCGGGGAGACAGCCCTTCATCTTGCAGTGCGAACTGCCGACCAGACGTCTCTCCATTTGGTTGACTTCCTTGTACAAAACTGGTATGGTTTTTGTTTTCTATGAATGTGCCTTGTAAGTTAATACACATCAGTCCCATCAGTGGCCTGATTTACTTGCACTGATTGGGAATTGCAAAGAGCCAGAAATTATTTTAGGCTTTGCAGGCATGAGGCGTCTGTCGAAACTATTCACCTCTGCCACTGTAGTGTGAAAGTAGCCATAGACAATATGTAAATAAGTGAGCGTGGCCATGTTCCAGTAAAACTTTATTTACAAAAACAAATACAGGGCCAGATACAGCCTGTGGGCTGTAGTTTGCCACCCCCTGATCTAGATAAATGTAAAATCCTATCTGCATCCTAAACCTGCAGCATTAGGAGAGGTTGAAAGAGAGAAGCCTTAACAGCACGGGTCAACAGGATCTATGAGTTTTCATTGTTCGTAAGTTCAATAAAAGACAGCAGTGTGTGTGGCTGACTCAATAGCTAATTCAAATTTGGGACATACTATTAGCAGTATAATATTGAACACAGGAGATTTGGATTTGCTGGATTCTTTATTGGGTAGTTCTGTAAGCCACAGATGATGAGGAACTGGAGCTCAGCCAAAGGAGAAGATCAAAATAGTGAGTGAATTTGAACCCATATATGAAGAATGGTGCCTGGAAAGAAGCCAAACAGTAAATGCCTCCGCCTCTTCCTTAGAGGTAGTACAGTGTAGTGATTAAGAGCATTGGTTCCAGAGACAAACAGCCCACGTTCAAGTCCCTGCTCTGTTGTCCATATCTTAATAACCTTGAAAGCAAGCACTTGACCCACTCTGTGCCTCAGTGTTTTCATCTGTAAAATACAGGTTATAATAGAACCTACCCCAGAGGGTGGTTTGAAGATTAAATGAGCTAATACAGGTAAAAGCTAAGAAACAGTGTCTGTCCCATAGTAGGCACTCAATAAATGCTGGCTATTATTGTCATTATGTTGCTTATAAATTTAGGTGTAATGTTGGAAACATAGTTTTCTCTGCTTGTAATAAGTAGGTCTCAAATTTGACTCACCTGTTAGCATAAAAATTAGTTAATCTGTAAAATAAGTTAATCTGTAGTTTTAAGTTATAGATTGTCATTTTTTCCTAATAATATTTTAATTTTTCAGTGGGAACCTGGATAAGCAGACAGCCTTGGGAAATACGGCTCTACACTACTGTAGTGTGTATGAGAAACCTGAGTGTTTGAAGCTGCTTCTCAGGAGCAAGCCCACTGTGGATGTCGGTAAGAGTGCTGCAAAGTTTCTCTTAATAACCATAGTCGGAGCATTTGGTTGGCTAAAACTGAGATTATGTGTTACATTATGATTTGATTATTGTTCCTTGCCTTTTCAAGATATAACCCAGATAATTATGAAGTTTTATTTTCCCCTATTTTAGTTAACCAGGCTGGCGAGACTGCCCTGGACATAGCAAAAAGACTAAAAGCTACCCAGTGTGAAGATCTGGTAAGCAAAAATGGACGTGGGAGATTTATTAGACCAACTACCTTAAAATGTCATTGTCAGAAACTGAAATTTGGAGATAAAAGAAGCAGATTCATTTTTTTGAACATTGGCTAAAGAAATTTAGACAAGCACTAAGGCTACATTTGAAAAAAAATGGTAAAATGATAAATTTGTCATCCACATGTCTTTTGAGTGCGGTTCTGATGCAGGAGCTAAAAGGCCTTTGGGAGGTATTGTTACCACATGGGCTTATGGACTGACGTCCTGCTTTTTATCTGCCAGACTATTAGGCTTTCTCTGTAGCTTAACAGTAAAGAAGAATTATTTGGGAAGCCACTTCCAAAAATTTGGCAAGTAAAGTTCAGAGCATAGTGGTTTTAAAATGTGAACGCACTGCGCCCCCCACTCCCCCTTCTGTGTGCACTCACCTTTTTCATCCCCTTAGTTCTTGCTTATAACTCTGGCCTTAGCGTAGCGAGATTCTCTGAACCGCAGGAAGGGAGGAGCTAGGAGAGCCACCTTACATTCCCTGGAGTTTCTGCTAAGTGTCAGGTCTGGGTCCAGGCCCAACAGTTGTCCTTATCCTTATAAGAACCCTTTGAGGAGGCTGCAGTTATCCCTGCCCCCGTTTCTGGGTGAGAAAAGTGGGCACAGATTGGACTGGGACCATCTTGACTCCAAAGAGCTACCTCTCATACTTGACTAAGTCTGATTTCATCTTCCAGCCAGGAATTTGCCATTTTGAGGCTGACTTGAATATTAAAAACACTTTTAATTTTGGAGAGAAGTCAAGTCATCAGAATAAAGAAGGCTCTGCCTGTACTTCTTTGCAGTTCCTCTTTAGCCTGTCTTTTAGCAGCCCAGCCTGTACAATGAGTTTTGTACAATCATGCAAGTACACTGCAGTACACGGCAGCTACTGGTGATTAATTTGAAACCACGAATAAGATGGATTTGCTCAGTGTTTATATAATATTAGGGTGTTTGGCATTTAAAAAAGATGGTTCCACCCATTGTTACTTTCAGCTTTCCCAGGCTAAATCTGGAAAGTTCAATCCACATGTCCACGTAGAATATGAGTGGAATCTTCGACAGGAGGAGATGGATGAAAGCGATGATGATCTGGATGACAAAGTGAGTATAAATAATGCCTCTGAATTCCTAAGCACTTCTCCCTTTGTTCTACACTATATGGACAAGATCCATTCTTTGTGAGCTTGATTTTGGTCCTCTGACCTGATGTACTAGGGCCATTTTCTTTGCTCAATGTTTAGTCTTTGTTGGGTGCCACTAACAGCTGTATTAGGGTTCTCCAGAGAAACAGAGCCAAGAGGATGAGAGAGAGAGACAGGAATTGACTTGAAGGAAGTGGCTTGCATGATTGTGGGGGCCAGGAAGGCCAGGACCCACAGAGCAGGCTGGCAGGCTAGAAACTGCAGCAGGAGCTGACGGTGCAGTCTAGTCTGGAGGCAGAATTCCTTCTCCTTCAGGGCTCCTCAGTGTTTTGTCTTAGGCCCTTCAACTAATTGGATGAGGCCCCCCTTTATGGAAGGTAATCCCCTTTACTCAAAATCTGATTTAAATGTTAATCACATGTAAAAAATACCTTCACAGCAACATCTAGACTCGTGTTTGACCAAACACCTGGGCGCCATAGCCTAGCCAAGTTGACACATAAAATTAGCCATCAAAACAGCTAATTAATAAATAGTAAGTCATCATTTATTGAGTACTTAAATACAGCCTAAGCAGCGGAAGGCATGCCTGTGTTACCTCAGACCATCTTTACGAAAAGCCCACTATGGCATTATTATTGCCTCCATTTTACAGAAGAGAACACCGACACACAGAGATTTTGCAGCTTTTGTCTGAAGTTCCACAGCTAGTAAAGACAGTCTCGGGGTTAAACCTAGTTCTGTCTGACTCTGATAGGTAGCTCTTAACTATCTCTGAAGGTTCAGTCATGCGTTTTTCATCAGATGTGTATTGAGCACTTCCTCTGTCCCAGGCAGGATGTAAGGAGTGGTCGACGATGGGCATTACAAAGCTGTCCTAAAGGCATGCAGCACTTTGAGAGGAGGTAAATGATAATACAGTGGATACCATTATAATAAGAGTTTGGGGGAGTTCCTGAGAAGTATTCAGAGGACAGAGCAGCTGCCTCAGCCCTGGCAAGCCACGAAGACCTGATCAAGGATGTACCATTGGAGATGGGGTTCTGAGGGTAGGGAGGAGCTTGCCAGGCAAAGAAGCAGGGAGGAATGCATCCTCCCAGGGAGGGAGAGCAGCATGTGCAGAGGCCAGGGGTCGGGATGGAGCATGGAATCTGAGGAGGGTTAGAAGCACGGTGTGTGGGGTGCCGTTGCATGGGTTGGGTGGGGAGAGGCAGGAGGCTACCCTGCAGAGCCAGGCAGCCCAGATCAGAAGGGCATTGCAGGCGGAGTTTGGCCTTTTGGCTTTTATGCAAGCAGTCACAGGCCAACAGAGATTTATTGTCAGAAGAGCAATGTTTCCTACCAGCTCTGGCTGTAGGGTGGAAAATGGGCTAGAATTGAAAGAAACTGGAGTCAGGGGCTGTTCAGGAGGCCCGTGCTTCAGTGGGAGCTGGTGGGTGGCTGCTCTAGGACATTTCTGAGCTCTCCGTGCAGGACCCCGTGGCTCTAGATGACAGTGAGGTTTCTAACTTGGAAAGTTGCATGGATCATAATGCTGTCAACAGGAGTGCAAACACCAGTGATCCTTCATAGGTGGTTGGAAATGGTTGGGAATCCAAGTGTGTGGATGAATGAGGTTACTTTCTAAGAGGATGTAAAATGAGAAGAGAGGTGAGGATTGAAAACTTGGACATGAAAGAGTTGAGCAGGAAGGAAGAATGAAGGTCGTAGATTACAAATGCAGTAGGTGGAAACTGTTCGGATGTTGATGAAAGTGTCCTGCACAGGGCAGGTGTTTGTTAATTGAAGGTTAAATCTGACTGTGCCCTTATGCTTCTGAATACTGCTGATCCCTAACTGGTGTCTCCCTCTTGTGACTCTGGTAATGGTGACGTGAGAATCACAAGTGTAGTATCTGGATCCTTCACTTGTACTGTGTCGTGGCTCTTAGGCTCTCATGGTGGCTGACCTCATAAAGTGCAGAGAGCCACAGGAACCCAGATTCCCAACAAGCCCACCCCACAGAGACCTTCTGTACACCTGAAGTGTAGTCCTTGATTATTGTCTCCCCCCTACCCTGTGCTTTCATCCATCAGCCAAGCCCCATCAAGAAAGAGCGCTCACCGAGACCTCAGAGCTTCTGCCACTCCTCCAGTATCTCCCCCCAGGACAAGCTGTCACTGCCTGGATTCAGCACTCCAAGGGACAAACAGCGGCTCTCCTATGGCGCCTTCACCAACCAGATCTTCGTCTCCACAAGCACAGACTCGCCCACATCTCCAACCTCGGAGGCGCCTCCGCTGCCTCCTAGAAACGCCGGGAAAGGTACGGGCTTTGAGAAGGGCTTTGTGACTCCATCCTCAAGGCTGGTGGTGTACCCAGCTTTGACGTAAAAATTGCAAGGAGCATTTGAGTGGCAAAGTATGGAATGTGTGGTCAAGGGCAGCTTAAAATAGGGACCTTGCCATTTGCCAAGGACCGGTAGCAAGTGTTGTGGGCACTCCTCATGCATTATCTTGTATTAACCTCACACAGTCCTATGAGGTATGTGCTTTTGTGCCCATTTCACAGATGAGGAAACTGAGGCTTAAGGAGGTAGACTGACTTGCCCAAGGTCACACACTCTGTAGGTGGTAGAATTGAGATTCCATCCAAGGTCTACATAGGCTCCAAAACCTGTGCTCTTTCCTGTATAACGTGGGGTGGGATTTTAGTTCTTTGAAAAGTTACTTTTCTCTACGCTAAAATGTCTCTCTTCTGAAGGTAGTAGTAGTAATAGTGGTAGTTAATAGTTATGGAGCGCTTGTTTTATGAGAGGCCCTCAGCCCAGCACTTCCCATTTCAGGCTCACAAAATGAAGTCGGTAATACAATTGCTGGCATCACATAGCCGAGGGGACTGGTTCAGAGATGCTGAATAATTGGCCTACAGTTCCCAGCTATTTGGGATTCTGACCCAGGTCCCGTGTGACCTGAGCCCACACTCCTGTGCTCTCTGATGAGGACTGTTTTTCCATGGGACACCACCTGGGGAAGAATCTGACCCAGAGAAGGGTTATTTATGCAGTGCCTCATCAAATGCCTCCGTGGGGCTAGTGCCGCAGGCTAACAGTCCACCACCCTGTCCTGTAGCAACAAAGCGCTTCTCCTGGATCCTGAATCCACAGAGTGTGCCCTGCTCAGAAAGTCAGTGTGTTCCCACCTGCGCAGGGACAAGTCGAGGCACAGAATTGCCAGCATCAAAGGGTCACCCAGCCAGGGAGAAATGGAGAGGTACCCAGAGCTGTAGCTTTGGGTTTGGTCTCAGCCAGTAAATGTAAATGCAGGGTTCTCCCTGTGTGCTCAGCTCGTGCTAACACAGGCTTCGAGGGCCTCTCAGTGCACAATGCCGTGCCTATTTGAATCACACTGGGGCTATTTTCTGGGAAATGTGAGCTGTATTCAAAACAGTGTTTTTTCAGAGCTTATTCTCCATTGAAATAGTGTTATAAATGGGAGCTGTGTTCTTAGAGAGACCCCAAATGGCCTCATAGATCATAAAATAACAGAGAAAAGTTAAAATAAGGCTTCAGCATGAACGGTACTCATCAAAGATAACCAGTGGCCATAAGAGTAACAGCACACGTGAGCCAAAGGTTTAATTTGCAGTGTTTTTCTTACTGTTCCATACATTGTACTAGAATGCACGTAAATAAGGCATCAGAATTTTTTTTAAATTGCTGACATACCAAGTTGCAGATCTGTAATGAAGAGTACTATGTTACTGCTCACCTAGGTAATGATATTCTCCATCAGGGTGGCAATCTGATAAGAGCAGAGATTCCCTTTCTGCACCCTAAAGAGGACCGTGAGAAACCTCCAGACCAAATAAAATTATCAAAGAAGTTACTCTGAAAGGTTTCACACCCCCTAATTATGGTTACCAACATAGTAGTGATGACCTGTCTAGAGAGGCAGGGCCTGTACCTATTCAGAGAGCCTCCAGGTAATTGAGAATCATGAAAAAGGTCTACAGGAGAGAAGGACACCAGAGTCCTGGGGGCCAAGAGGGCCCCTCACCTCCCTCCTCCCCTTTGTAACTTTATCTCAAGGGAACAGAAACTCATAATATATTTTATGTCTGACTCAGTATATTTGATCTGACTCAATTCTAAGCATATCTCTTCTACCTGAATGAATTCTGATTAGCTCTTTACCAAAGGCCTGGAAGACAAAGACCAAGTTTATTTAGTGATCCAGCTGCTGAAACAAGCGCTTAGAGACTTGGCCGCAGCAACTGTGGTCAACTAAGCATAGACTAGTTACCCTCCACTCCCCAAAAAAAACCCGTAATTGGAAATAGAAATCCCTTTTTACTAAAATCAGAGTGTCCTTCCAGGCTGCTCTTAGCAAGACATCATATTCAGAGATTTGGCCCATGCTGGTGAGACACAAGGAGCACAACCTTCCCGTGACTTTCATAAGGGACGTGAAACGTGAGCTACGTCCTGTAGCTAGCCTGGCTCGTGCGCCCTCACATTTGGAAGAGTGATAATGTTTAGAATGGAGTTCTTAGAAGACATTGTTGAAGATCAGCTGATGCTCTGTGCAGAGATAATTCTCTTCTGTTTTGAAGACCTTACATTTTTTTCATTTCATTCGTTGATCTGATAGAACCATTTGCATGAAAACAAGAGTGTCTTGAATCTGCCGTTCATTTTCCACAGCAAGTAAAGCAGAGGTCTCTGCTTGCAGCAGAAGTCATTTCCACGGCTGTGGGTTTAGGAGTCTCAAGGATGATGGCTTCCAGTGAGGCAGAAAGAGACACTCATGATGAAGTCCCCGCTGATAAGAGGAATACAGAGGGGAGAAGTAGGAAGAATTATTCTGAATCCAGCTCAGGAATATTTGCAAGAAACTCCAGCTGCCCTATTTCAATGCAAGGAAGTTTGACCTAAATTGCCACCAAGCAAAGCCCCCTTGTGTTAGAGCAAAGCTCCAGTCCAGGTCGGAAGAACTCAGCAATTCAGAACCCCACCCTCACCACCCTAAGCCTTTGGCAGAAACATTTTGCTGCCTAACCCCTCTTCAGATGTGAGGTCCAGCGAGATTAAATCAAAGCTACAAATTTAAGTACACGGAAGTTCTCACTCCTGATCAGCAGCTCCCCACCACCCCCAACTTCACTATATGTTTATTAAGACTAGAAGTTCTTCAGGCTTTCCAAGACTGGTTTGTTTTTCATCTTCAAGCTAAAATTACGTTGTAGACCCTGGATTTTTTAGAGCTAGAAGGATGCTGAAGGGTGAAACCAATCTGCAACACATTGTGCAGCTCAGGAAACTGAGCCCTGGAAAGGTTAAAGAATTTACTTCTGGTCAAACAGTGGCTGAAATAGGATAGAAAATTAAAATGGGCCTTAAGATGGCAAGCCAGATCTAGTTTCTTCTTTTCCATGTTGAGGAAGACGATCCATTTCTGTCTTGCCTTCCTCAAGGAATTGCCATCAGAATCCGGTGAGACAATATATATGGAGAAAGCATTTTGTAAAATGCAAAGCCTTGAACTACTGTGAGAGACTCCTGTTAGGATTGTTAAGCTAAGACTCTATAGATGTTTCTAGAATACGGAAGAATGTAAGTGAGCAACATGATACCCGTCCCACAGAACAGGTATGTGAAACACGTATTGCTTGCTTGTGGTTTGTTTTACTCTATTTGTAAGTAATTTTAAGCTGTAGAACTGCAGTTTTCTCCCATTGTACAGTTCCATACTTCTTACAGAGTGATGACAGAACTGTACCTGACATGAGACAGTTGTGGAGATTAATGGGAAGGACAGGAAGCTTTTAGCTCAGCACCTGGCACATAGTGAGTGCCCCATGAAGGATATGCCTCTGGCATTGGGGCCGCTGCAACCCTCAACTCTAAGAGTCCTCTTGGGAGTAGGGGCCAGAGTGAGGTCGCCCAGGTCTGGTAAAGGAGCAGGTGCTCTGAATAGTGAAACCCCACACAATGTAAGCACCTTAACTCAAGAAAGGATTTGTCATGTCAGTGAATGATAAATCTGATCTCAAGAAGCTTATTTAACTTAGTTAAAAGGACTAACTTTTTCAAGCTTTTAGAAATACCAACAACTGATACATTAATTACAGTTCATTCCCATCTGCTCGTGAAATCAGTCCCTAGAAGCAGGCATCACGTAGCCCCTCTGAGTGTCGTGTGAATTCCTGTAAGTATTGACCCTGCGCTTCATGCACGTTTTTGATAATGGGGCCTCCCTCCCTCACGCAGACCCTAGCGCCGGTCTGATAAGCTGGCGGGTGATTCGTACGAGAGCACCGTGGTGCCTGGCATCCTGAAGGCCTTGTAAATGCTTGTTCACAACTGCTCGGTGTCACGGAGAATATCACGCCAGATGCAACCCTTGCCTTCAGTTTAAGTGAAGAGACTAATGCCCTCATTAATCAAAGAATATAGTCAGTCACACACTATCCAGTCCATCAAGCCAGACCACAGCCACCTGGGCAGCTGTGACACTAGACTTTCTCTTCTTCCAAGAAGCCTTCTTCCCCTTGCCCCACCCAGGAGACTGGGGTTCCTTCCCCTGTTCGTGCCAATCCTGTCCCTGCCCTGGTCTCATTTTAACACTTAGCTGATCTCGGTGTTTCAGGGTCTTCATCTGAAAATAAGGATTGGGTGTCTGCCATGCTGGTCACTGCTTAGAGGACATGGAATGGTGTCTATCAAGTGACTCGCACATAGCGAGCATTCAATAAGTGGGAGTTTGTTTGATCCTGCTGCATCTGTTCAGTTCAACAAGTCTTCTGGGCACTGGGAAGGTGCCAAAGAGTGGAGAAGGAGCACCCTCTTCGGAGCTCGCACTCCGGCCGGAGAGGAAGCCAGGAAATGTGCCATAGGGGCAGCACGGGGGGTCACGGTGGGCGCGTGAAGGAGAGGTGCTGCTCACAGGTTGAAAGAGAGGGCCAAGGAAGTCTTTGTTTCACTGTCCCCCTCCTACGAGACCAGACTTCTCAAGCACGGGGGCTGTGAGTGAGCTGTCCTGGCGTCTCTGGCGTGGAGTGGGGAGGGGGCGGCGCTCCATCCGTGCTTTGGCCCCAGTTGAATGAATGAACAACTGGCATTGGCCCCAGTTGAATGAATGAACAACAGCCGAATCAGTGAGAGCATATCCCAGAAATATGTGCCAGAGTAAGGAGGGGTCACTGATACAACTAAACTGGATGTCTGGGGCTGCAAGAAGGCAGAGGGGAGTGGAAAGGGAAGACCTCGGGACATGAAGGTGGCCTGCCATCATGAAAGTGCATTCCTGAACTATTCAGACTTG